CCACCGGCATCCAATCCCTCACGATGCCCTCCTTCTCCGGCACCACGCCCGAGGCCTTGCTCGCCCGCAACGACTCGCTCAACCCCGAAGCAACATGCCGCGGCATCACCTCCAACGGCCGTCCCTGCCGCCGCCCCCTCCTCGCCTCGCCCGGCCACTCCCAGCAGCAGCAGCCGCACTCCCGCAAGAAGAACAACAACAACGCGAAGCTCGCGCCGTCTCCCCCCGGCGGCGGCGGCGATGACACGGAGGACTCGTACTGCTGGCAGCACAAGGACCAGGCCGGCCGCTCCCGCAAGTCGAGCCCCGGCCCGCGTCCGGCGCAGCAGCATCACGCCGCCGGCATCGCCGAGGAGCGCTCCAGCCTCGACACGCTGGCGGACCGCCTGGGGCTGGTCGACATCAACGCCGGTCGTCCCGGGCGGTACGACCCCGAGAAGCTCGGCGACCAGCATCATCAGCAGCGGCCCAGCAAGCCCAGCAGCCTGTTCTGCTTCTGCTTCAGCATCCCCTCCGGAGAGGACTTTGACGACGCTCCCCGGCCTCACCAGCCGCGGCCTCAGCCGCACCCCGTCCAGCCGCAGTACGCCCGCCCATCAACGTCCTCCGCCCGCCCCTCGCATCTGCACCCGCACTCGCAAGGCGGCAACTCGCACTCCCGCCCAACCAGCTCCTCGGCCCCGACGGCCTACCACCTCAAGTCCCTCATCCCAGACTCCCTCGACGCCGTCACCACGTCCGCCCTCATGACGGAGGTCTCCAAGCCGCCCTCGGACGCCGACGAGCCGGGCTACATCTACATGTTCTGGCTTACCCCCGAGTCCGCCTCGGAACCGGCCCCCGTCGACGCCGCAAGGGACCTCCTCGCGCCTCCTCCTCGCGGCGGCAACGCAGCGGCCAGCAGACGGCCCAGCGACGTCGTCTCCGCCTTTGCAAACCAGGGCCGCAAGACCAACCCCAGGAACTCCAAGCCCAAGACGATGCTCCTCAAGATTGGCCGCGCGGCCAACGTCCAGCGCCGCATGAACCAGTGGTCCCGCCAGTGCGGCCACTCGATCCAGCTCCTCCGCTTCTACCCGTACCTGTCCTCGTCCTCGAACCCGGCCTCCTTCGACGCCGCGTCCGCGCCCTCGGCCAAGGGCCGGTCCCCGTCCCCCGCGAGCGCCGCCTCGCCCCATCCCACGCCGCACGTCAAGAAGGTCGAGCGGCTGATCCACATTGAGCTCACGGGCATGGGGCTGCGCGCCGATTTGGGCGCGTGCGAGACCTGCGGGCGGGAGCACAAGGAGTGGTTCGAGGTGGAGGCTTCGAGGGACGGGGTGAGGACTGTGGATGACATTATCCGGAGGTGGGTTGGTTGGGACGATGGGCAATGAGCGTTA